CAGCAAAATGGAGGAGATCTATATTTAAGTCCATTCCAAAGAAAGGTGATTCAATGACTTATGAAAATTATCGAAAAATAACAGTAATATCCCATGCAAATAAAAATTTGTTGGAGGTAGTTAAAAAAAAGGTTGCAGCAATACATTGGCAGAATTCAAGCTGGATTCAGAAAAAGATGTGGACTAAGAGATATCATTGCTGATGTCAGATGGATCTTGACTAAAACCCCCAAATACCAGAAAGATGTTTACCTGAGTTTTATTGACTATACAAAGGCATTCAATTGTGTGGACTGTAACAAATTATGAATAGCCTTATGAAGAATGGGAATTCTATGTGCTCATGCTGAACCTGCACATAGATCCATTGACAATTGTTTGAATAGAACAAGGGGACACTGTGTGGTTTAAAATCAGGAAAGATGCTCATCAGACTTATATCCTTTCACTATACTTACAAATTTGTATGTTGAGAAATAATCCAAGAAGCTGAGCTGTATGAAGAATATGCCATCAGAATTGAAGGAAGACTCATTAACAATCTGCAATATGCAGGTGACACAATCTTGCTTGCTGTAGGTGAAGACTTGAAACATTTATTGATGAAGGCCAAAGACTGCAATCTTAATGTAGATCACACCTCAACATACAGAAAATGTAAATTCTCCCAAGTGGACTCGTAAGCAACATCATGACAAACAAGAGAAAAGACTGAAGTTGTCAAGGATTTCATTTTACTCGTATCCACAATCAATGTCCATAGAAGTCAAGATATCAAGTGACAAATTTTCTGCAAAAGATCTCTTTTAAAGTGGTAAAAGGCAAAGATGTCACTTTGAAGACTGAGCTGTGCCTGGCCCAAGCCATGGTATTTTTCAATCCCCTTATGTGCATGTGAAAGCTGGACATTGAATAATAAAGAAGATTGAGGAAGAATAGGGTGTTGGTAAAAAAAAATATTGGCCATACCATGAAAACGGTCACAAGAATGAACAAATATATTTTGAAAAAAGTACAGCCAGAAGTGAGACTGGTCAGACTTCATCTCATTAACTCTGGACATGTTACCAGAAGGGACTAGTACTTGGAGAAGAACCTCATGCTTGATAAAGTAGAGGGTCAGCAAAAAGAGGAAGAAGACCCTCAATAAGATGGACTGACACAGTGGCTACAATGCTGGACTCACACACAGCAGTGATTGTGAGGATGGTGCAGGGACAGACAGTGCTTTGTTCTATTGCAACAGTGTTACTCTGAGTGGGAACTGACCCTATGACACCTATCAACAATAACAATATATGTCTTGGTTTAAAAGCGGGCATCCAAAAAAAGTAAACCATTGAGAGAGAGTTGCAAAACATCATTTTGCCAGTGTATTTCTGAAACTGTACAAGGGGATGTACTCCCAACTTACGTTCCAGACAGAGGGATTATTGGCTTTTAAGTTATTGCTGGATCTCAAAAGACTACAACCATTGGCAGGGAGATACTACAATTACTAATACCTTTATTTTTAGGATCTGAAAAATGTACCTTGCTGATCCTTTTGTAAGACCCTGGGAGTGGGTAGAGTGAAAGAGTCATGGGGTCACTTCCACAGACCTGAATAGTGTCTGTAGTGGTCCAACCTTATGACACATCAGCAGAATTCTGTAGCTAGTATAGAACTCCTGTGTTCCCTTTTGATAGAACTATGCATTTTCTGAAATAGATGAACTTAATGTTATCAAATTAGATACTGATAAAATATATCATGACATATTTTGACTATATATAAAATGAATAAATTTTGATTATATATAAAATAAATAAAATAAATTTACAAGAGAAAAGAATTTAAGGGACAATACAAGCTTCCAAATTTGAATGTTGTTGTTGTTGTTAGGTGCCATCGAGTTGGTATCGACCCATAATGACCTTATGCACAGCAGAATGAAACACTGCCCAGTCCTGGGCCAACCTCACTATCATTGCCACGCTTGAGTCCATCGATGCTGCCACTTGGCCAATCCATCCCACTGGGTGTCTTCCTCTTTTTCTCTGACCCTCCACCCTACCAAACATGATATCCTTCTCCAGAGACTGGTCTCTCCTGACAATATGTCTGAAGTATGAGAGATGAAGTTTGGCCGTCCTGGCCTCCAAGGAGCACTCTGGCTGCACTTCTTCCAACACAGATCTGTTAGTTCTTTTGGCAGCCCATGGCACTTTCAGTATTCTCCTCCAACATCATAACTCAGTCTATTCAAATTTATGAGACTATTAAAATGAAAAGATAACTTGTTTTGGATTGGATTTCTGCTGGTCATGCTTGTTAGAGCCACAGAAGAAGAAGAACATAGGATCATACTGTTTTGTTTATGACACAAACTCTACTAGGATTGATCCTTGACTTGGATTTAGTATGTGGACACTTTAGAGAAACGTTTTTCTCTTTTCTGACCACAATCCACTCTAAGAATACATTTTATACTTTTTACTAGCACGCTCATGGGTGCAACATGCACACACACACACACACACACAGAGATTTAAGAAATCAATCTGTTTCCTTATGAAAACATTTTGATATTTTCTGTTATTGCATTCTGTTCTGAATGAGAAATGGTGGTTGTGGTTTAGTAAATGAACTTTATGGTTTTGTAAAGGGTAGCAAGCTGCAGGTTGCAAACTCTTTACCTGAGAAATTTTACCCACAGGAATGGAGAAGGTAATGGAAAGAATGATCATCTGTCTTTCTCCAAAAAGTACAGAATATTGAGCTTTACGTTTTTGTGGAAAATAGGGAATTCGGGAAACTGATGGACTGGGTCTGGGGATCAGTCCTAGATTTGATTTGATTAGAGACAGAAAAAAACCCTCAACCTATCAAGTATTTATTATGGACTGTGTTTAGCTACTGGATGGAGGATACAGGGTGCGTATCATAGGTCTTGCTCTCAAGGTGCTTATAGATATTTACTAGATTGGATTATCTAAGGAATGTGTAATATAAAAACCAAAGTGGTTCAAGGCAGATTCCTGATGATCATCAACAATTAAAAATGGGCAGATCAATGAGCACCTGCAAAATTCAACTGACAAACAAATCACTAACAACAATCAAAACAACAAAGAAAAAGAAGCCCAAGAAAGAGGAAGAAATTTAGGAGGGTGAGACATCCCAGGAACCAAGAAATAAGAATGTTTTAATAAGGAGAGTTCTGGTGTGGTGCTGTGGGTTAGTGCACTGGACTGCAAAGTCAGTTTGAACTGCAAGGTTGGCGGCTCAAGCTCACCAGAAACTTTCTAGATAGGGTCGCTATGAGTTGAAACCAACTCAGCAGCACTTAACAACAACAACAACAATAAAGAAAGAATGGTCAGCTGGATGATTCTGCTGTAAAGTCAAGAAGGCTAAGGATTAAAGAGGGTCCGTTGAAGCCAACAGCAAAGAGGGCACTGGGGATCTTGGGAAGAGCTGTTTCAGATTTGTGGTGAGAGTAGAGGCCAGGTTAAAGGGAGGAGAAGTGAGTTGGCTATGAAGTCTGTCAATCACTTTAAGCGAAACACTATCCAGAGGCAATAGATTTGGAAACTAAAAACTCAGAAAACCAGATGCAAGGCTTTAAACATTTCTCATTTCAACATGTCATCCCTGTGTGTGTTGGTATGTTTCCACATCACAAACAACAGCCAGTTCTGTAGATGCTATTGAATAGGTACTATTAAGTCAAAAGACTCTGTGAACACACTCGATATAAACTAGAGATCAAGATGCTCAATCTACACTGGCCATGTCAGTCTTTAAAACTTACAACCCCAAATCCAAAACAACAACTACAAAATAACGAAGTCCTAAACAACAAAAATGTGTGAAAAATGGAAGACTAGTTTCTCCTAGACCCTGGGTTGTACAAAAGGTCACTATTACTATTAGTTAAAATGTTGGTGGTTCAAAACGACCCAGCAGTGTCTCAGAAGACAGGATGCAGGACTCGCAATCTGCTTCTGAAAGGTCAGGGCCTTGAAGTCCCCATAGAACAGTCGGTTCTACTCTGCACACACAGGGTCACAATGAGTCAGAACTGACTCGTCAACAACTAACAACTAACAACTCCAAGGCGCCATGGAGTCTTTATGTCTCAATCCCCTTATGTGACATTTCAGTTATTGCATAAAATGCTCCGTTTCCTCAGTTAGAGATAATTAACAGCATAAACATTTCTGAGTAAAGGAAGTCTAGTTGGCTTTAGACAACTAAAGGAGGGAATGGCGAGAAGGACCTGGAAAGTCAGCTGTAATGATAAAGCCATCATTCATCTACAGAAAGGATTGATTATATTCACAAAATTCATTAACATTTGTGTACAATGACATCTCTGAGCTTGGTTTGAGATCAGATGCACATAGGGGATGCTGAGGAGAGACAGGGAGTTCCCTGCTTGTGGGAAAAATGGAGGAAGAAGTAATAGGGATGTAGGACTCACTTTCTGCTTCACCACCTATTGTCACATGAGGGGAGAGGACAATTGTACTGTGAGGGACTATGGAATAATTCAGCTTTATCTTTTTGTTGTATTTGAGCATTGGCTCAAACACATCCCTCTGAGTCAGGTTTGAGAAGTGTATGGTTGATTTCTCTAGTATTGGCAGGCATCACAAAGACACAAAACTTCCCAAGATTCTACAAAGGACACTGATATGGCTTCTGTGTTTTATTAAAAGACACCAAGGGCTTCCAGACACTGAAATGAATGTCCTGCTACTAGAAACACCTCCTGGAGGACTAATTATGGTAGATCTCAGCTATGAAATATCCCACCACACTTTCGCAACATCTTCATGCAGGTTTCCTCCTGGGTGCTCTCTTTCATATTTTTCTTCTTTGTATATCTTTGGGCTATATTCTCAGTGATTTTCTCACTATGATTTTTATCCTGCTAGATAAAGTGGTTCATTCATTCATTAAAAGAAATTTACAGGTGACAAGTAAATGAAAACTGGCCTTAGATGCTTACCTTGGAGGAGTAGATTGCTATTGGATTTTGGATTGGTGTCAGAAGAGACACATGAAGTTCCTCTGGGATATCAGTGATTGAAGGAATTTTATACTGTTTTGGACCACGGGTATATAGGACTCCTTCAGGCGAATACTTCAGCTCCTCTAGAGTATAAAGTCCAAGGCCTTGAGTAAATGCCCCTTCAATCTGAGACACAGAAAGAAATGAACCTTACATTTTCACAATGTCCTATGAATTTGCAAGTGTCATCTATAAATGCAGCATTCCTGTAAGTGACTGCCTTGCTCTGGAGTTCACGGTTCTCTAGCTCTTCATGTTCTAGTTACGATACAAGCATGCCTTTCTGATATTCTTGGGTACATTTTTTGGAAAATGCCTGGACTTTCTTATAAAGACGACTAATACCACTATTCAATGGTCCTAGATAAATCATTCACATAGTAGTGATATGAGAAACAGATACCAGATTCTCCTGTCCAACCTCGGGAACAAAGTCACTTGACCAATAGAAGGGGAACTCTTTAGCCCTCTTTCTAGTTAGCAAGATATCTTTTAAAGTCTGAGGTTGCTCATCATGATATTGGATCTGTTCTTCCTCTGGGGAGAATGTTCTAGTCAATTTCTTTATAACCCATTGCTATGGAGTAGATTCTGACTCATAGTGACCATATGTAGGTCACTATGAGCTCTTACAGAAGCAGAAAGTCTCATCATTCTCCTGCAGAGCAGCTAATGGGCTTGAACTGCTGACCTTATGGTTAGCAGTCCAGTACTTATCCTATAATGCCACAAGTATGTTCATATGTCCGCATTACTTCCTTTCTTGCCTTATTCCAAAGATGAAATTCTAACAGAATCTCATAGAATTTTTAATTTAGCATTGTTTAAATAGAATCTAGCCCTCCAAAAAGAAGGCTTGAGAATAATTAACAATAGAAATGGTACATGGTATGCTGAAATAAATGTTCAAACATTTTTTTAAATTTGTATTATGATGTGCTAACACATTTGGTTTATATTTAAAATGTTAATGAGTAAAATTGTGTGAATTGTCACTTTGGAGTTCAGGTCCTCAAGCTTTTTCCATTGATCCATCCACACACACACTTTCTCTTTTTCTGTCTCTCTTTCCCTCTATGGTGATCCTGAATTCTCCTGTGGTTTCAAATACCAGTTTTCTGTGGATCACCCCAAAATCTACATCTCTGGGCCAGGCCCTGAATTTTTGGACTTGGAGATCCAATTCTCTTCCTGACAGCTTTACCTGGCTCTCCCATCAGTACCCAAAGTCAACAGAGACAAGCTAAACTCAGACTTCCCTTTAAAGTGTGCTTCCTTATTTAGTTGAAATTTCAGTCACTGAGCCTATCATCCAAATAGATTTCCATGGCAGAAATTTGGACTCATTTTTATTCTGTCCTTTCAACTACTGCCTCCCCACGGCAACCACTGCCAATTGCCGATTTTGTCTCCTAATTATTTCTGAACATTTATATTGTCTTCCTCAGTCCTACAGTATATGCCTCTACCATCTCTTGCCTATTTGTAGTAATTTCCTAATTCCTCTCCTTGTATTTATTCAGTCAGACATCAGTCAGTGGTTCCTACTATCTACCAGTAGGTAACACTATTGAAACTTGTTGAAAATACAGATTCTTGGACCCTCTTTGAGTTAGTGGGTCTTGGGTCAGACCTATAATGATGTGATTTATAAATATTTGTTGAACGAATAAGTGGAATAAATAGATTTCTATTTAATTTACCCACACTCTGATAGGTTAAAAAGAAGAAGAAGAAAGATAAAGAAATAATATGACAAACTATTGACACCCAGAAAACAGAAGAAAGAGAATTACATCTCTCAACTTGTACCCAGAAAAGGTAAAATATGACATGACATTAGAGAAGAAAGTCTGCATGTACCTGCCCTATGTCCACAGCAGGATTTATACTGAAAGAACCGTCCATTACAATATCAGTTCTGATGTTCTGTCGAGAAATGAAAACAAACAGGTAGTTATGATGCTGTTGTTGTTAAGTTGCCCTCAAGTTGACTTTGACTTGTAGCGACCATGTATTTCCAAGGAGCAACTGATATAACATCTATTTTAAAAGAAGATTTTCTTTTTCTGGAGTTAAAAACTCGATCAGAAACACTACAGATATGTTGTACTCTTGGTGAAGGTCTTGTAAAATACAAAATAATGTCAGTTAAATTACACTTCTTAAAGTAAAAAAAAAAATATAGAAGTTATTGGCTAAGTTATTAATTATAAAATTATTGATGTGAATGGTAGTAGACTTTTTAACATTTATAAGTTCTCCTTACTAGTCTATTTTCCTATAAAAATAGAAGTTGCAAATTCTCACCTTAATTTGTTTTAATATTCTATGTTGGTATTGTTGTTAGATGGCTTCCAGTTGGTTCCGACTCACAGTGACCCTATGTACAACAGAAGGACAACTGTCCAGTCCTGCGTTATCCTCACAATTGTTCTGTTTGAGCCCATTATTGCTGCCACTGTATCAGTCCATCTCATTAGGCTTCTTCCTCTTTTTCACTGACCCTATTCTTTACCATAGGACTTCTGCTGTGGCACTTTGGGGTAATATGCTGGACTGCAAAGTAAGGTGTGAACCACAAGGTTGGTGGTTCAAGCTCACCAGTCACTCCTTGGAAACCCTATAGAGGGTTTCTATGGGTTGGAACCGACATAATGGCATGTAACAACAACAACAGTACTTTACCAAGCACTATGTCCTTTTCCAGACACTGATTCCTCCCAGACAACATGTTCAAAGAACAAGAGAGGAAGTCTCTTCATCCTGGCTTCTAAGGAGCATCCTGGCTGTATTTCTTCCAAAAAAGATTTGTTTGTTCTATCAGTCCATGGTACTTTCAATATTCTTCTCTAACACCAAAATTCAAACACATCAATTCTTCTATGGTCTTCCTTATTCCTATGCTGTTGCATAATCAGTAAAGCACAAGTAAACAAGTTAACATCTTTCTGGTATTTTCTTCTTTCAGCCAAGAACCTTCTGACTTCAGCAACGATAATCTATGTTCTATGTCCTTTTCTGAATCAGGTTTAAATTTCTGGCAACTCCCTGTAAATGTATTGCTGCAACTGTTTTTGAATTATCTTCAGCAAAATTTTACTTAGCATGTGATATTAATGATATTGTTTGATGGTTTCTGCATTCTATTGTGCCACCTTTCTTTGGAACGGGCACAAATATGAATCTCTTCCAATCAGTTAGTCAGGGATCAGGTTTCTAAATCTCTTAGAATAGACCAGTGAGGGCCACCAGAGTTGCACCAATTTGTTGAAAGATTTCCATTTGTATTCTATCAATTTCTGATGGAATTAGTTTACACCGATGCCTTAAGTGCAGTTTGTCCTGCTCCCTTCAGCACCATCAGTTCTCAATCATATGCTGCCTCCTTAAATGTTTGGACAGCTACTGTTTCTTTTTGGTAAGTGACTCTGTGTCACTTCCATCTTCTTTTGATGCTTCCTGCATCATTCAATATTTTGCCCTTCAATATTTCAAATTGAATCTTGAATTTTTTTCTTCAGTTCCTTCAGCTTTAGAAATCTGTGTGTGTTCTTCCCTTCTGGCTTTCTAACTGCAGGTATTTGCGTATTTTGTTTTCTGTAACTGCCCTTTGGAATTTTCTGTTTAGCTCTTTTACTTCATCACCTATTTTCAGTTACTTTAGCTTTTCTATGCTCAAGGACAAGTTTCAAAGTCTTTTCTGACATCAACTTTTGTGTTTCCTGCCTTTTTGATGACCTTTTGCTTTTTTCAGGTCTGATGTTCTTGATGACATCTCACAACTATTCTGATCTTCAGTCATTAGTGTTTAATGTATCAAGTATGTTGTTGAAATGATCTTTACATTCAGGGGGATATATTAATATTTTTCATATTCATATTTTTTTAAAGTCATATTTTGGGTCTTATGGATTTATTTCCATTTTCTTAAGCCTGAACGTGCATATGAGCAATTGATGGTCGGTTCCACAGTCATCTCAGCCTTGTTTTGACAGATGATTTTCAGCTTCTTTATTGTCTCTTTCCACAGATGTAGCCATTTTGATTCCTATGTGTTCCATCAAGTGAGGTCCATGAGTATAGTTGTCATTTATGTTGTTTAAAAAGGTATTTTCAATGAATAAGTCATTGTTCTTATAAAATTATATCATGTGATCTCCAGTATCATTTCTATCACCAAGGACAAATTTTCCAACTATTGATCTTTGGGATTTCAATCTGCAGTAATTATTAATGTATCTTTATTGCATGTTTGATCAATTTCAGACTGAATTAGTGGGAAAATTCTTCATTATTTAGTGGTTGATGCATAAATTTGAATAATAGTAGTATTAATTGGTCTTCCTTGTTTGCATATATTATCCTATCACACAAAAATCTTGAAAGGGTCCTTTTGACAAATTCTAAGCCATTCCTCTTATATTTGTCATTCCTAGCACCATGATTGTCTGATTCAAAATGGCCAATATGTGTCCATTTCAGCTCACTAATGCTTTAGATATTAATCTTTATGTGCTTCATTTCACTTTTGATGACTTCCAGTGTTCCTAGACTCATACTTCATACATTCATTACATCTTTCAACTTGTACCCAGAATAGGTAAAATATGATATAATTAGTATATCATATACGTTCCAATTACTAATAGATGTTTGCAGGAGTTTCTTCTTATTTTGAGTTGTGCTCCATCAGCACATGAAGGTCTCACAAACTTTGCTCCATTCACGTCATTATGGTTAACTCTACTTTGTGAAGGTAGCTCTTCCCCGGTTGTATTTTGAGTGCCTTCCAGTACGAGGGGCTCATTTTCTGTCACTATATTAGACAATGTTCCACTCATATTTAAAAGATTTTCAGTGGCTAATTGACTCAATGGCACTTAACAGCAACAACCATTCAGAAGTGGTCTGTCTCTCCTTGACACTTGTAACAATCCTGTGCACAAGAGAATGAAACATTGCCCAGTTTTGAGCTGTTGTTGTTGTTGTTCTTGTTAGGTGATGTTGAGTTGGTTCTGACTTAGTGACCCTGTATAGTGTTTATGCAGAACAGTCCAGTGCTTATCTACTCACTATGTGTCATAATATCACATAGTGGTATTTAAAAATAAGGGTAAATTATTATACAATACTCTATTAGTAGGAGTCCTGATGCGGTACTGTAGATAACACTTTTTTACTTTATAAAACAAACTTACTGGACTGTAAATTTGGTTTGAACAGCAAAGTTGGTGTTTCAAACCTAGCAGCTGCTCCTTGGAAATCTTAAACAGGGTCGTTAAGATTCAGAACTGACATGATAGCACTTAACAGCTTAACAACAACATTATATGAGTATAATGAGATAATTAGTACTAATTATTGTTAATTTTGGAGTCCTGGAATGGCACTGTAGGATAGGGAGGGTATGGTAAACCCCTATCTGCTAAACACTGGACCGAAAAGTCAATTTAAACTTCAAGGTGGTGGTAGTGTGCAGTTTTAATTAGTGCTACAAATTAAGATAAAATTCATTACTTCAACAAAAACTTATTAACTACCTATTATGCCAGGCTCTGGAAAGATAAAACTGAGTGAAACATGGATCCCCTCACCAAGCTAGGACTGTCCATTTATATTTCCTTTGTATATCCTCATGATTAGCTCTCCCTCTGAAATATGGCTTGAATCTGTCTCTTCCTTTCCATTTCTAGTACTAATCTTCTAGTTCAGGCCCTCATTTGCTCTTGCTTAGGTTATTGCCGAAGCCTCTCAAGTGGTCTCCTCGTTCTTGTCCTGGCTTTTCTTCAAATGCCTCCTCCACAAGGTCACCAGATTGACCTATCTAAGTTACAGACTTGGCTATACCCTTCTCCTGCTGAAAATCTCTCCACTGGATTTGCAACTTATAAGAAAAATTTCAAATGTGTCAATGGGTTGGAACATGATCTCCATGATTTTTAAGTCTCTCCCTAGCCTTATTTCCCAGGATTCCAAGCGTTGTCTTTTCTGAGTTATACTCTTTGTTTCCCTCAGATCTACGCTGCTGTTTTGTTTTGTCTGCATGGTAAACCCCAATCTACTACCTCCTCTGCTTTGCCTTAACACTGTGTGGTCAATTCTTTAAGACTCATCTTCCAGGTCACTTTCTCCAAAATCTCTCCCTGACCACCTTTCTACCTCTTCCCTAATCTTAGGTTGCATTAGGGAAAATGTCTAACAATAGTATTGCTGTTGTTAAGTGCCGTCGAGTCGATCCTGATCCCGACTCATAGCAACCCTGTATAGGGTTTCCAAGGAGCAGCTGGTAAGCTTGAACCATCGACCTTGCAGTTCAAACAGCTTTGCAGGCTGACGCACTAACCCACAACGCCATACCGGGACTCCAACAATAGTATTACCGACTCATATTGTATGAATATTATAAAGATGTTTGATACATATTTTTTGAAGGGAGGCAAAACCACTTGAAATAAGTTAGGCCCAGCACTGGGACCACATGCTTGCACCTTCTTAAATATTTGCCCTGTGATAGACAAAAAGGTATGTCACAGCGTTTCAATTAAAAATGCACGATACCAATGACACATTGTTATTGTTAAGTGCTGTTGTGTCAGTTTTAACTCATAGTGACCCTGTATAGGGTTTCCAAGGAGCGGCTGGTGAGCTTGAACAGCTAAACTTGTGGTTCAAACTGACTTTGCAGTCCAGCACATTAACCTGCAGCACGACACCAGGACTCCAATGATATGTTATTGGTTGCTTACCTTATGAGCTCCTGTCAAACAGTCAATTTCAACCTCAGAACAGGCGGCTCCAAAGACAAAGTAAGGAAATATGTCTCCTTCTCCCTTCTCCCAGTCCATGTGAGCGTCATAGCCCCTGACAAGAATAATACAGACTCTGGTCAGGTCATGGTGTGACAGCCGGGCTGTCTCTAAGATGTAGAAATAAGTGAAATCAAAATGCCTTTAAAGAGTTAACTATGCTACACACACAGAATGCAATGCTTCTCAAAGTTCTATTAAGTATTTAGAGCAGAGAAGAGGCAGAGAGCCACCATGAGGAGAATGAGCAGCTTCAGGTGTGAAATTTTGAGGAAGAAGTCGCCACTGTTAACGCTAGAAAAGTCTAAAAAGTTTCAAGTTTACAATTTTTCTGCATTTTTCAATCTAAAAAGCATTTTAAATACATACTATTGGGAAAATGAAAATTTCCTGAAAGTTTTGGTTTTAAAACTATGTTCTTATTTGTTGTTGTTGTTGTTGTTGTTGTGAAGTGCCGTCGAGTCGGTTCTGACCCATAGCGACCCTGTACAGGGTTTCCGAGGGTGTAAATCCTTATGGGAGTAGAAAGCCTCGTCTTTCTCCCGCGGAGCGGCTGGTAGTTTCGAACCGCTGACCTTAAGGTTCGCAGCCCAATTCGTAACCACTACGCTACCAGAGTTGTTGTTAGGTGCTATCAAATCAGTACCAACTCATAGTGACACTATGCTAAACCACTCCCCAGTTCTGCACAAACCCCTCCCCCTCCCAATAAATTATATTGGTTGGTGGGCATTAAATATATACCTTTCAGGAAGTAGAACTAAATGAATGCAAATGACAGATTGATCAGATCCAGCGTGCAGATAATCTGTAACTTAAGGCTGTGATATTTCAAGAACTCAGACTCATATACATTTATGGACACAATGATGCATTACTTTACAAGCTATGTTGGGCGGTCATGGTGTTGAGAGGTCCAGAATCCTGTCAAAGAAGTGCAATATTCCAATCTCTCCAGGGGACTGTAAGTGAAACTTCCAATAAAATGCCTTCCAGCTGAGTGGACAAAGCCTTCTTCCATGAAGGACTTTGACAAATGATGTTGTTCTTTGTTTCAACAACAACCAAGGCATATTAATCACTTGTGATTGATCTAAGAACTATGTGACTCATAACATCTATCTAAAACAAGACCCACATCTCATATCATATACAAAAACCAACTCAGCGTGGATTTAAGACCTAACTGTAAAACCTAGAACTATAAAGATCATCAATGAAAAAATAGGGACAAACTTAGGGGTTCTGATACTTGGCATAAATACACTACCAGCCATAACTGAAAACACACAAACAGCAGAAGACAAAAGAGAAGACTGCTAGTTCCTCAAA